CTGTGGCTTTGGGCAACTTCTTGAGTCTGCTAAACTCAGGCACCTTCCTGTAAATGAGGCCTCTGCCCTGGGTGGTGGGAGCACAGATTGTTAAGCGCTTTTCACCTTGTCTGCCAGGAAACAAGGCCTCAGCGTCAGCTCCAAGCCCAGCTCCAATGCCCAGTGGCATTTTCTCCTTTGAAGGTGATCGTGGTCGGCGTCCTGATGGGCTTGGCCCGAGCATTGCTAGGGTCTGGGGTTGCAAGGAAACTGGTAATGATAGTAATGCTACCGATCCCACATCTACCCTTACTGAGAATTACTCTTTTCCCGGCACTTTGCCTAACAATTGTCACCAATAATTAGCAAGTAATTAATACTGATGGTAGTAGCTTCGCCTGACGCCATGCTCAGCGCAGGCCAGGCACTGTCTGAATTTTCCTAACAATTTGAGGAAGATGCCATTCCTGTCCCCATTTATGTATAGACAAGGTGGAAGCGCAGGAGGCAAAGCAGCTGCCTGATGTTGCTCAGTTTTTGCAAAGAAGAACTGGGGTGTAGGCCAGAGGTGTTGGCAGTGGAGGAAGGGAGAGGGGGAGAGGCCTCCACCCTTGATGTCACCTCCACAGGTGACAGGCTCCTCCTGGCTGCCTTGGACAAGAATCAGGTTAGCACAGCTGAGCGAGAGTGCCCTTCCCTTGAGGTCCTCCTACTGACTTTCCCCACTGCCCCCGACCCTGCGTCCAGGCTACAAACCTCCACGTGGCTGTGTGCTCTGTATTCAGTGTGGAGCTCCAGGTCTCTCCCTCACGCTATGGCAATCCTCCTGAGTAAAGTCTCCCTTACCCTGGCCCTCCCAGGCGGAGCGACAGGTTAAAGCGCAGCACTGTGAAGCTCTAGACCAGCGGCAGGGGCCTCAGCGTGAGTTCGATCCCCTGCGGTGACCCACAGGGCTCGGCAGACCCTCCTGTCTCCCCGCTGCTCCCCTCAGCAGTGGCCTTCGTGGACCAGCCTGCTGTGTTCCCACTGTCGGTGAATCTCCTCATGGCCCCTGCACCTCAGGCCTGGACCCCAGTTCTGTCTGCATAAATAATCCTTAAAAAAAAAAAAAAAAAGTCTTCCAGTCTTCCTTACCCTTCTAACAGGTGTCAGAGTGATTTCTTTCCTTTAACAATAACATATGGGCTCATTCATCCTGGCCGAATGCCACACGGTGGGTACTGTAAGTGTCTCCACTTTAACCCGGGCGAGGCGGGGGGCCCCCGGGCGACAGAAAGCCGCAGGCTCGCCCGCAGCCGGCCGCGCTCTGCCTGAGCAGTCCCGAGTTTGGGTCCCGGGCCGGCGTGAACGGCCCCACGCCGTCTCCTGGCAACCAGCCGCCGTCACGTGACCCGCCTCACATGGCCCTGCGCGGAGCTGGGGTTGGAGCGGGGGCAGCGGGCGGGGCCGGGCCGGGCAAGTTTGTTTCCGAGTTTGCAGCCCGGAGTCGTCGCTCGCCGGCGCGCAGGGCCCCTCCGCCTCGCTCGGGATGGAGCTGCCCACCGTGAACCTGAAGGTGGCCGCGGGCAGGGCGGGGCGGGGCGGGGCGGGCCCCCCGGGGTACGTTGGGCGTTCGCTTTGCTAAACGAGTATTTATGGGGGAGAGGACCGCGGGTTCAGGCAAAGCGGGTGACTGGGAGAAAGCCCGCACAGACCCCACGTGAGGCAGGTGGGCAGAGGCGGCGGCGGGGAGAGGGAGCCCGGGGGGGGGGGGCCTGCGGGGGACGGGAGGCGGCAGCGGAGGGAAGGGCGGCCCCTTACTGGACTCGGACCCCTCCAGCCCGGACCCCCGGGCCGGGTGGCCCCCGGGGGTTCGTTGTGGCCTGCCCAGAATTCCTCAAGCGAAAGAGGAAGGCGCGGGGCGGAGCCCGCTCGGGCGCCCGCGGGGGTTGGGGCGGCGCCTCCCTGCGGGGACGGGGCGCCGGCTGGCGGTCACCTGCGCTCCCGGCGAACCCGAGGCCTCCCGTGCTTGCTAGATCGGATTAAGGGCTTCGGCTGTCCCCAGGCCAGAAGTGTTCCCAAATGTACAAATTCTGCGTCCGCATCTCATAAAAAACACAAACTCCAGGAGAAGTTGCGTAACACAGAAAGCCCCCTCTCCGCGCCTGGGGACACCCCGCGGGGCTTCCTGGGGTGTCTTCATTTCCTGAGCCACTCCAGCTCGGGATGCCAGTTGCTGTTCTGCTTTTTCCCCACCCACTCGCGGCGGCAAAAATCTGTTTGAGGCAGATGGGCCGCGTTTAGTTTTGGTGGGGACGGTGTCAGCCTAGGTGACAGAGCTCGGAGTGCCCAGCGCCTCTGGTGCTCCAGGAAGCCAGGCATGTTCACGACCACGTTTGCATTGTCAGACATAGGGTGCTCTGTTTAGATTTCCCTTATGCTAAAGGAGCAAACCACCTGAAGCTCCCACTTAATGCTCCACTGGAGCTTGCTAGCCGGAGCAGTGAGCTGGGGCTGCAGGTTTAGCTAGGAAGAAATTTACCGGAAGGCGCCTGAGGCTTGTCCCTGTGGACACTCACACTGTCCAGGCAGTGTGGGTGTCCATGCCCCACTGATGAGACCTCTGGGGGAAGGCATTGCTGGGTGGAACCGTTGGTCCAGGGGCCCACTCTTGGGACGGTGGTGGTTGATTTAGCACAGCTGCCGTCTGAGAAAGCCGATGCTGCCTTCGTTTTATGGATGAGCAAACTTTGGCTCGGATCCGGCGGGAGCCAGCAGGTCAAGGTCCCACAGGGCTGCAGCGGCGGAGTCAGGATTTGAACCCACCTCAAAGCCGTGTCCTTGTTAGACCGCCATTGATGGGGCTGGCCACTGCCTGGACAGTTTATGTCCACCTGGAGGGCTTGATCGGCTTAGGCCTGTTTGAATGAATTTGGGTCTTGACAGGGTGTGAGCTGTGCTGGATTTTGGTGCCCAGAATGAAGCAGCTGGTCCTCCCCTGGACTTGGAACATAATTCTCCAGGTCCCTGAGGGTCTTAGCTGCTCCCAGTCACTCATGTGAGCGCTGGGAAGCGCTGAGGGCTGGGTTTGCCTGGGGCCACAGAGGAGGTCCGGTTGAACTTGAATTTTAGTCCAACAATGGCTGAATTCTTTTTAGTACAGGGCATCCCAGGCAATATTTGGGGCATACCAGCAAATTGTTATCTGAAATACAGAATGAACTGTGCCTTGCATGTGCACTGTTAAATCCGGCCACCCTGTGCAGGGTGGCCTTGCAGACAGGCCCTGGAGGGGGCAGTTCTGAGAGCAGAGCCCTCGGGAGCTGGGGCACTGCACACCTGAGCCATGGGCTCCCAGCTTCCTCATTCATACACTCCTTGGCCGTTGCTGAATGCCCACCTGTGTCCTGCCCAGCTAGAGTAGGCGGTGGTGCCAGGTGGGAAGAAATGGCCACCCCAGGCCTTTTGCGCCCAGGCGAGGCGGGGCGGGGCGCCCTCCCCTCGCCTGGGCCGTTGGGCCTTTGCTTTGCTAAAGGAGTATTTTATGGGTGAGAGGATCGAGAGTTCAGGCAAAGGGGGGTAACTGGGAGAAAGAGCATGTACAGACCCCACGTGAGGGAGGTGGGCAGAGGCCTAACCCCATCTGCGAGGGGATCCCTGCCCAGAAGGTGACGATGTGACCGGCTTAGACTGGTCCTGAGAAGGGACCTTCGGGAAGAGGGTCCAGCATTGGGGTTAGGAACTGCGTAGAGTCCAAGAGTTCACACTTCCTTCTGCTTCCAGAAAGAAAGAAGACCGCTGCCCAGGGGCTTTCTCAGACCTGGCTGCTCCCTCCCTCCCCTGCAGAACCTGGGTAGCCCCTTAGTTAGCAGAAGCCCCTTGGAGCCAGCTGACAGTTCTTTTGTGGGTGATGAGTCACTGCTCCTTCCTCCCCGGGCTGGTGGGAAGAGGCAGGACCAGGCCCGCTTATTTCAGTTTCTCTTTGGAGCTTCCCTGCACTGGAAGCCTCTCTGGGTGCAAGTGGGAGTGCCCCCCATTACAAAGATGGGAAAACTGACCTCGAGGAGGCTTAGTCTTCTATGGCTTTCTTTTCCCAGAGGGCTAGAGCATCATCACATGTTGCTAAGTTTCTCAAATATTTATTTATTTACTTTTTAAGATTTACTTAGTTATGCGTACAGAACTGGGATACAGGTCAGAGGGGGTGTGGGGGTGAGAGGATTCACAGAGACAGAGTGGGGAGCAGAACAGGCAGATTGAAATACACTGCTGAGGGGAGCAGTGGGGAGACGAGAGGTCTGCCGCACCCTGTGAGTCAGCTCTGTGGCTGGGAATCGAATTCGTGCCGCAGCTGCTGTGGCCAGCTTCGTAGTGCTGCACTTTAATCCGCTGTGCCACCAGGGAGGACTCAATATTTGTAAGAAAAAATGTGACGGGCCCTCCCTGGTGGCACATCAGGTCAAAGCACAGCACTGTGAAGCGATCACACCACTGCAGCCTGAGTTCAATCCCTGGCCAGGGAGGGACCCCCGGGGCGCGGCAGACCTCTCCTGTCTCCTCGCTGCTCCCTCAGCAGTGGGTTTCAGTAGATCCTCCTGTTCTGCTCCCCGCTCTGTCTGGCCTGTACCCCAGTTCTGTATGCATAAATAAAACCCTTTTAAAAAAAGTGACGTCCATGGAGGCGACCACGTGTTGTTTCAAGACCTGCCACCTCTCCAGGCTTCTTTTTCTCCCCCGCCAGTGCTGCTCGTGTTAGGGACAGCAGGGCAGTGTGACTGGTCACGTGCTGTGGCCTTGGGCAGGTCCCCTCCTCTGCGAGCAGGGTTTCCTGTGAGAAGAGATGTGGCTGGATCTTAAGATAAAGCTCATTCTCCTTCCCACCACCACGCACAGCTCACACCCAGCTCCCCGCCTCCCAGCTTCTTGTGCCTCCTCCAGTCTCCTCTTATCTTCTACTCTGGACTCACTGGCTTCTTTTCAGTTTCCAGAATGTTCCACCACCCCTTCTAACGCACAGCTTCGCAGGTGTTTGCAGGGCTCTTCTCTCCGCTTCATCCCTGGTTCAGCCCCTGCCCCCAAGGGTCACCTCCCCACCCTCGGCCTAATCACCCCGGTGGGGTCTGCGGTTCCTTTTCCTTTCTGGTGATTTCAGAATGGGGGGGGGGTCTCATCAGATCCTGAGCAAGTCTCTTCCCCCCCCCCCCGCCGCCGTTGGAAGTCCTGGGGGTGCGGGCGGCGCCTCATCTCCGCTCACCCTGGGATCCCCAAGTGGAAGCTGAGCAATGCTGGGGTGCCGGGTAAACTGGAAATGTTTAAGAAACTGAGCACCACCTGACCACTCTTGGCCATGGGGAGAAGAAACCTGCAGAAGACTAAGCGCTGTCCCTTGCCTCGGTTGCCCCATCTTTGTAACGGGGAGGGTAACCCCATTTAGCTCTAGTGCGTCCCTTCAGTGGGCGGTGGAGCAGTGCGATTTACCTGTGAGCCTAGTCTTCTCATCTAAAATGGAAGAGATGAGCATATCACAAAGCCTGTGAGCAAGTCTCTGCCCCGGATGGAAGCCCTGGGGTGGGGGCGCCTCATCACCTACAGACACAGTAGGTGCACAGCAAACACACTCTTCTGGAAGCGCTGTTCTGTCCTGAGCCAGACGCCTTACTGCAAGGCCGCTCTCTTTCCACTCTCACCAACAGAAACCTGGGCCTTCCCTGCAAGGTTGTGTCCACCTTGTTCTCCCAGCCTGACCCACTGTTCCTGCCCCAGGCCATTGGTACCTCCCCCTCCCAGCCTGAGCCTCCACCCCCTGCAGCTCCGCCCCCCAACTCAGCCACTTCCACATCCTGTCCCCCCGCCCCCCCGCTGCCATCCCCCCCCCTTCTGCTCGCCCTCCTGGGCCTGGCCAGTGCTGCTGGCCACTGCCCTGTGCTCTCCAGAGCCTCAGTTCCTTCCTTCCTTCCTTTCCTGGCTTCCCAAGCGGGGCCCTCAGATTTGCCAGGATTACGGGCCAGTTCCAGGAAAGGGGGCTGTTACTTGAAGGCTACATGGGACATCGAAAAGGTTGAATATTGCAGAGATGTAGAAAAGAGAGAGGGATTTTGTGCCTGACATAACCACCTCACGTCACCTCCCTGCAGATAAGCCTCCTGTGGCTGCCTTGGTGCTCTGAGCGTGGGACCATACTCTGCCTTGCTGCTCCCTGGAGGCGCTCAGTCCCCCCTGCCCCCTCCAGCACCCCAACTCCAGAGCCCTTAAGAAATCCATCTCCTTTGAGCCCCACCCCAGCCTTTCCCCAGAGAGTCCTCTCTGATTCCAGAACAGATTCCCAGGTTCCCCAGAGGAGCCCCCAGCCTTCGGAAGCACGAGGGGGTGAAGTCACAGCTCCCCCAGCCTGGCCACTCGCTGCCACTGGGGCGCGGCCTCAGGTGTGAGGCAGGAACTCCTGTATTTTCAGACTCCAGAAGCTTCTCCCCGTTTCCCCCCAGCCCCTGCCCCCCAGCTGTCACATTCACAGATATCTTCTCCACCCCCCTCTTTTTTGTGGCCAGGCGATCCTCTTGCTTCACTGGCTGCTGACGACCTGGTAAGTGACTCGCGGGAACCGCGGTCTGTGCTGTGGCCGCCCCTGTCTCCTGTCCTCATGTCTCCGTCGCCGTGTCCGCCTGTCTCTAACAACCTGTCCAAGAGCCTCCCGGCCAGTCTGGAGACTAAACTAGCGGCTTCCCTGTGAACATCATCAGCGAGTCCCCACATCTCAAGATGTAAAAAGGGGGCAGTTCCCAGAGGCCATCACTGCCTCCTGGGATCCTGGGATCCTCAGCCCTCATCCTGGGGGGTGGCCGGCCCCGGACACCAGAGCACGGCTCCTTCAGACACCGCCTGAGCCCCTCTGGGCTTGGGGTCACCGCTTCCTTCCCAGGACCTGTGCGCCTGGGAGTTCCGAGCTGCCGAAGCCCGGCAGCCCGTCTTGCTGGGCTCCCCAGGCCGCCTGGGGTGGACCCAGGCAGAACGCTGTGTGTCTGTGAGCCGGGGTGGATCCCTTCACCCCCCAATTTTCTCATCTGTAAGTTGTAATCTGTGAAGGCCTGCTGGTGAGGCCTTCGGACGTGAAGGCGTGGCTTTGCGAGCCGTAGTAACCGCTCGCCTTCGTTAGCGTAACTGCCGGTCGCCGGGCTGGCGGCCTTCTGTGGGCCTGTGGTCCCTCCGTGACTCAGCAGGTGGGTGCAGGGCGAAGCTGAGACATCAGGGTGCTTCTGCTTAGGGGCTGATCCTCATCGTCGCGCCCCCGGCCCAGCCACAGTGCTCAGATCCAGATGGACCCTGGTCAGTCCTGGCTCTGACTGTTCCAGCCGGGCCCCCTTGGGCCAGCAGCTCCACCCCCCAGGGCCTCAGCTTCCGCCCGGACAGTGTGTGTGAAGCCAGCACACACTCGGCGGTGGTGGCCGGAGGCAGAGAGGCAGGCTCAAGGCTTGAGGGGGGTTTCCATGGTCACTGTTCTGTGTGCTGAGCTCCTGGGGACATTTCCCAGCCAAGCCAGGCCTGGAAAGCCTGGAGAGCGCTCATGACTCTGCAGGCGCTGACGCATGATGTAGCACAGAGCAGTGGCAAGTAGTAGAAACAGGGGTGCTCACAGTTAATGACATTGGGGGCCAAAATGCCTCAGCCATGCAACCCAAGATTCTGGGTTGGAGAGCTTGGGCTGGGGCCCCAGCTTTTGTAAAACCGACACAGGGGATTATTTATGCAGACTGTTGAGTCTGAGCGTGCTGCCTTCGCTGCTTAGCCCCTGTTTTCCATGTGAGTGAATGTCATCTGCGTATGCGGAGCCCCCCCCTTTTGCTGGACCCCCATGGGTGTGGTAGGTAAAGCCATGGCCTCCTGAGCCAAGCTGCTGGGTCCAAGCCCCGCTTGCCAGGTAGCTGTGTGACTTTCGGCAAGTTGCTTCACTCCTCTGTACCTCAGTTTCCTCTTCTGCAAAACGAGGGTAAGCCGGTGCCTGCTCCCTAGATGTGTGCCCACAGATGCAGGCAGAGAAGGAAACTTAACACGCTGAGAATCATGCCAGCTCACAAAGGCCCTGTGTTAACTGTCATTTTCCTGGAAGTAAACCTGTCGGTTAGTGGCAGTTCCCTGAAAAAATAAAACAGGATAGGCCTGCTGCTAAAAAGTGGGGGGTGGCATTAAAATTGTGGGCTTCAGGGAAGGAATCAGCATTTCAACGGAGACTCAAATGACAGAAGGGGCTGAGCATTCAGGGCAGAGGGACAAATGGGGGGGTGGAGCGCCAGGGTGTCACCGGCTGTCACGGCGCCCCGGGCTGCCGTGTGGGTGCTGTTCCCGGACTGGCCTGGAGGGGGCGGGCGTGGCAGCGAGAGCCCGCCGCAGCGAGGCTGCTGGTAAACCCTGGTGGGCGAGGACATTGGTTGGGTCCTGGAGGCACATGGCCGGGATCCGGGTGGGTGTGGGGGGGAGAGCCCGAGGGATCTGCTGGCTTTCTGGTGTCAGTCGGGTGGGGATAGCCGGCAGCCCTGGGGCCCAGCGCGCAGAGCCTCTTCCCACAGGGGCTGCATGGTGTTCTCCGGCCCCTATGCCTGGGCCAACTTCACCGTCCTGGCCCTGGGCGTGTGGGCCATCGCGCAGAGGGACTCCGTGGACGCCATCAGCATGGTGAGCGGGAGGGAGGGCGGCGCTGGGAGCTGGCTTTGGGGCACCGCTGCCTATCTTCCCTGCCTATCCTTGCGCCCCCTTTATTAAAATCATCTAAAGCCTTGCAGATAAGCCCACCAGGCCCTGGCCCTTGTATGTTCCCCACTGGCCGGTCCCTCTGCTGCCTGGCTCACATCGCCCAGTCTGCTCACTGTCCTGCCCTAGAAAAGCATGGGGCGGCATCCAGCTGGTGCCCCCAACTGCCCATCCCCGCGGGCCTCTGCTCTTGTGCGGACACCCAATACCCCCGGGCCCTCTATTTTGGGGGGAGAATGTGGCGAGTGGACTCCATTATTTGGTGAGGCCAGAGTGGACATGGCCCAGCTGAACTCTCGTACGGGGAGCTTCTGAGACCCGCGCAGCCCCTGGGGCCATGAGCTTCAGCACAGCTCCAGGCCACGGCCAGAGCCTCCTGGGATGACAGGGGTTTCCTTGGTGATGAGGCAGACTGGGGGAACCCCGAGACCGTCCATCTCAGACACTCCAGAGTCCGTTGTAGCCTCCAGGGTGACAGAGACTAGACTGGGTGTGGGGGCTCTGATGGCACTGACAAGCCTGGGGCCCTGTGTCCCTGCTCACGGCCCCCTGCCCCCAGCCAGGCATCTCGTCCATGGGCCAGCCACCGGGCTGTCTTTTCCCAACAGACCCTCAGGACACAGCAGGTGCAGTGGAGGAGGGAGCTGGGGGCAGGATAGGGTGTCTGTGTCCCCACTAGCTGATGACTCGGGCTTCCCCTGGACCCCTGTTTTGCAGTTTCTGGGTGGCTTGGCGGCCACCATCTTCCTGGACATCGTCCACATCAGCATCTTCTACCCACGGTCCAACCTCTCGGACACCGGGCGCTTCAGCGCTGGCATGGCCATCCTCAGCCTGCTGTTCAAGCCCTTCTCCTGCTGCCTCGTCTACCACATGTACAGGGAGCGCGGGGGTGAGCTCCCGTCCCACACCGGTGAGGCTGCACGGCTGGCCAGCTCCCGACCCGCTTACCAGCCTGCTGCTGGCCCTGCCTGATCCGCGGCCCCTGTCCTGTGGGGCAAGGGGGTACGAGATGGGTGCCGACTTCCACCTTCTAGTCTCTGCCACGGGAGCCCAGTGCCCTCTGGCGGGCCGCATCTGTGTGAGCGGCCCCTGGCTTCAGGCTTGGGCAGAGCTGAGGGTACCAGCCGGGCCCCGCAGCCCAAGCACAGGCCCCGCCGGGCAGGGGGTTCAGTCACAGGCAGTCTGTCTACGCCGGAAGGACAGCTTCTCCTCTCAGACCCCATCACCCGCTTGCTGAAGCCCCCTCTCCTGCCACATGGCGTCCAGGCGTCCCAGGCAGAGGAAGTGCGGGCCTGGACCCCAGAGCGCACCCAGAGACAGCTCTGAGCTTCGGCCGTCTCCCTGCTGCCCCTTACCTCAGTCTGAGTGGGAGTCCCTTCCCCCTTCTTTTGGGGCTCTGGCCTGACAGAGGCCACTCAGAGCCTGTTCCCCGAGATCAGGCTCCAGACTTCGCTCCTGTAGCCCCAGACCCTTGCCCAGCAGAGTGGGCCTGAGGCCTCTTCCAACAGATGGATTCAGGGGTGGGGGCTGAGCCCTAGGCCTGGACCTCTCGGTGCTGGGACAAGCCAGGGTGACCTGGGAAAGCCCAGGCTCTGACCCAGCTGGGAGAAGCCAGGCCTCACTCAGGTGTGCCCTGGGGCCACTCATCCTGGCACACCTCAGCCCTGCAGGCACCTGCCGCAGTGCAAGGGGGACCCCGACATTCCTCCCACTGGGCAGGTGAGGCCTGCACCGTCCGTCTAGACAGATGTGCGCATGGAGCCAGGGGAGGGGCGGCCCCAGCCCCAGCCTTGCACCCCAGGCACAGTCCTCTGGGCTGAGGGCCTTCGGGATATAGTAACACGGTGTCCAGTTTGCCTGGGAGCGGAGCTGGAAGAGAGCCCGTGGGCCAGGGCCAGCACCCCACTTCCCAGCACGGGCTGTTGCTGCCGCCCCGGGGCCTGGAGGCCAGGACCCTGGCTTTGGGATGGAGCCGCCTGGGTTTGAGCTGATGTCCTCAGCGCCCATGTGATCTCGGGAGCCAGTTCTCCTCTGGCTTTCTCCTCCTCTGTGAATTGGGGGCAATAAAAGACCTGCCCTGTACGGGTCCTCGGAGGACTGAGTGGACAGTATACCCAGAGGCCCAGCTCTGCCCTTCCTGGCGGGGGAGGGGCGTGGACAGGCTCTCACCTGGCAGGGGGAGGGGCGTGGACAGGCTCTCACCTGGCAGGGAGAGGGGCGTGGACATGGTCGCAGCGGTACTGTCCCGCCTTTTCACCCTTCATTTCTCTTTCCCTTCCCTCTGCACACCCCAGGTTTCTTCGGGCCCTCCCAGGAGCACAGTGCCTACCAGAGGATTGACTCTCCAGAGGCACCCACAGACCCTTTTGCAGGACCGGAGGTCAAAGGCCACGTCCCCCAGGGATACTGAAGCCGTCCTGCTTCCCCGGCTCCAGCCAGGGGCCAGCGTGACGAACTGTGAGGAGGCCCCAGCCACGAGCGTGCCTCGGCTATGATCCTAGGGGTGACCCTGACCCCCTCTCTCGGACCTGACACAGAATGTGTCCAGTGCCCATCTGAGGCTCGCCCCATCACGCTGCTATCCCAAGCCGCTCGAGGCCTGTCCTCCTTTCTGGGCATCCTGCTGGCACCAGGCTGGGAGCCAGAGCCTTTTGCTGCTCTGCACTCCCAGCTGCTCTGTGCCGACCCCAGCTGAGTCACACCTGAGCCCAGCAAGGCGCGGCCTCTCGGGGCCACTGATGCCCTGTACCCCAGGCCTCGCCCAGGAAGTTCGGGTCTTGGCCCTGGAAGTGAGGCCCCCATGCCTCCTGGGGAAGCCTGGGGATCCCCAGGCTGGAGGCGGGCAATAGAGACAGCACATGAGACCCACAGACCTCCCGTTGCCCCTCTGAGGGCACTGGCATTAAAGCATGGGGACTGGGCAGGGCTGTGTCTGGGGCTGTGATTCATCCGCCTCGGGCTTGGACCTGACTTTGCCGGAGAGAGAGCAGCTATCAGCCGCAGGGAGTTGCCGGGAGCCTCCGGCTGAGTTGCCTGCTCTGTGGTGGGAGGAAGCAGGAGCTTATGCACAACCCCCCCCCACACCTGCTCAGTCCAGCACTGGCCCAGCCTGAGGCAGCTGGCCGATTGCTTTGAATCCTGCCCTGCGCTTACTGGCTGTGCGCCTGGAACCTTCACCTTCCTCACTCACCTCAGTCAGTGTCTTCCAGAAAAGGGATAATACCTGCCCCAAGGTGATGCAATGTGAATTTAGTGTAAAGAGCCTGGAGGCTCCCTGGACTGTGGGGGAAGTCGCTGGTGGAGTAACTGTGGCAGAGGCAAGGGTGCTGGGTCAGGAGAGACCACGGAGAGGCACTGACCTCTGCGCCCAGCTACCTGGGTGTCACGGCCACCCTGGCTAGTGCCAGGCACCCAGAGGGCTCAGGCCCCACAACTGTGCACCCACCAGCCTGGGCCAGGGCCTGGGCCTGCAGTAGTCCAGAGCCTGATCTTGGGGAGCAAGTGGAGCCCCGAAAGAAGGAACCTGGGCGGTCGGGGAAGGGACTCCCGCTCTGGGCCCAAGGAGTGACTGCAGTGCTGGCCGGAAGCAGCCTCTCTGTCACACGGGGACAGGTGAGCCCCGGAACCTGCATTGTCTGTACCGGTCGGCAGGTCAAGTGAGAAAGCCTGGCCTGTGTCACTGTTGACCCCCAAATACCAAGAGACCGAGGACGGTGCATACCGCAGGAAAGCTTCAGTGTGCATTTCAACGTGTGTAATCAATAAAACATAAAAGCATGGGCTAGAAAGACACAGATCAAGCTCATGATCGTGACCTTCTGGGCCATGGGCTGCATCCTTAGGGGACCGAAGTGAAAGCACACCCCGAGTTCTCTGGTCTGTACCAGCTCCTGGCTCTCGGGGTGCTGGCAGTGTGCACCCCTGGGGAAGGGCCGCGGAGTGGGCACGGGACAGTCTCACCTGCGTCAGAAGCAGGTGGGACATCTCGAGCCCCACTCATCAGCCCCGGCCCCCCCAGATCTTTAGGAGCTCGGCTCCTGTCTTGGGTGGGCCTCCCCACATGGGCCCCTGAGGCGAAGCACAGGGACTCACAGCCCTTGAGTTGGACTTTCTCCACCTTTTGGCCGAGAAGGGTGGGTGTTGGGCAGAGCGTCAGGAGCTCCCTGGATAGAATTTGAAACCAGCCCCCAGCGGGGGGCTTGTGCAGGGAGGGACTGAAGAGAAAGGCAGACTCAGCAGGCTGGTAGGTGACAGTTTTAGTAACCAAGGGAACTTACAAGGCTTTGTCTTGGGTGAGACAAAGGTTTTGCACAGCCACTGCCACCCCTCCCCGCCAGATCTCGGGGGTACAGAGGCTTCTCTGTGGCCAGTCACCTCTGCAGTCGCTGCACACAGCACATCACAGGCATTCTCTCAAGTAGGGACATTCCAGCGGGAGGGGCAGGTGCCTCCCCTGCCAGGGAGCTGCTCTGGGGTCAGCAGGCGGTCATGTGCTCTGGGCTGACTTGGGCAGCGCAGGACAGTGACTGGAAGCCGGCCTCCTGAGGGCTGCCCCCCGCTGCGTGGACACAGCGGCGGAGAGCCCAGGACCTGCCAGGGCTGTTTCTCTGCCAGGTCACACAAGGGAGAGCTTCCAAGGCTCGTGCTGGGCACCCACACCCCGTGCTCTGCGCTCAGATGCTCGCGATGCCCAAGAGGGAAACGCCCCAAGAACCCCAGAGAGGCCAATGCACAGGGGAGATTCTAGAAGGAGACAACTCACAGGAAGACCTCAGCAGGCCTGTGCCCACCGGAGGGACGGAGTGAGCGCTGGGGGGCCTGGGCTGGAGGACTTTGGCCTTCACCGAGACCATGTCCACGAGGGCAGCGGTGGACATGGACTGACTGGCATTCTGGGAGGAAACCAAAAGGACAACATGGCAGAGGCAGCGGGTGGGGGTGCAGCGGTCCCATTAATGAGCCCTGTGCACGGCCCTGATCCCGGGGAGGGCTCCACTGTGCCCGCTGCGCCTCGGTAGTGGAGGTGCCAAGGGAGAACCACACGAATCCAGTGCTGGGTGGACACCACTGAATGCCCCCCAGAAGGAACAGTGAGCAGCGGGTCTCCCGGCGGCTGGCAGCTCAGGGGGAGTGACAGCGTGTGTGGGACAGTGTGGGACAGTGGCACATGAAGCGTGCGCCAAGCAGAACAAAGAAGCTCATTTGGTACCTGTGCCGGAGAGACACTCCCACATGAGGTAACCTGCTCGTTATCTCCCTTGAGGAATGTTCCAGGCCCAAGGCCACCTCTCCCTGCCCGGCAGCCTGCCCATGTGCTAAAGGCAGAGCAGTGGGATTTGCTGCAGGCCCGGGTGCGGGGGAGGAGAGGAGCCCGGGGTGGTCAGGGCCAGGCGGAAGCAGCTGAGCGCTGGGGCCTCCCCTCACCAGGGAGAAGACGACAGGAAGCCAAGTTCAGAGCAAGGCCGGGGCCCAGACTCGGGCCAGCCACCCTCGAGGTGATGAGACTTTCCCACCAGACTTTCACCTTCCACAAGGCCAGTTTCTGCAGGGACTCAGAGACGTCTCTGTCTCGTGGGTGGTGTCTGACGTTGTAGAAGCTCAACCACAGGAAGCAGATCGTGCCTCTGGCCTGTTGGAGAGGCCGAATCACTTGTCTAACTGGCAAGTCCTCTTTGTCTTGTTTTCACAAGGTTGAGCCTTGGGGATGAGGAAGCCAGAGGTTTGGGGGAGTCAGTGCCTTCTGCGGGTCAGAACCAGCCCAGAGCCAGCCCTGCCTGCAGAAGCCCCACCGCAGGACCGTCCCGCAGGCCCCCCAGGGGAGCCCTGGATTGCTGCACTCACAGCCTCTCAGAGCCAGCAGCCTTGACCCAGATCCCAGCTGCATCCTGCGACTGAGCAGTTTCTTCACAAGCCTGTAAGCCTCCACTTCCTCTTCTGGAAAGTGGGGTAATCGTAGTGCCTCACGTGGGGATGGGTGATGGCTGGAAATGCCCAAGTAACTGTAACGAAGCTAGTTCTCATTACCTTTGTTACCATGTTTGCTATTTAGAGGGAGAACCAGTGTAGAGGAGGGAAAGGTTTCCCCAACACCCTTAGGGCCCCTGGTTGGGTCTGGATGATAAACTGACAACAATTTAACAGGAGAAAAGCATATACATTTCTTGGCTTTAATTCATTATTGTTTTCTTTAAAAAATATTTATGCATACAAGAACTGGGGTACAGGCCAGAGGTGTGGGGGGGGTGAGAGGACTCGCAGGAGACAGAGTAGGGAGCAGAACAGGCAGATCGTCGAAGTACACTGCTGAGGGGAGCAGCGGGGAGACAGGAGAGGTCTGCTGTGCCCTGGGGGTCACTCCCTGGCCAGGGATGGAACTCATGCTGCAGGGGCTGCAGAGAGCTTCATAGTGTTGCGCCACCAGGGAGAGATCCAATTCATTATTGTTTTCTTCCCCTCTCCCCCCAGCATATACATTTCCTTGAATTTGTATATATACGGGAGACTTCACAAGAGAAAGAAGACCAGAGCAGGAAACTTTATACGTTGCAAAGCAAGAGCTGTTCAGTGTTGAAGAATTGAGAAGACAAAGGTATTTGGGCTGGAGGTGGTAATGGTGAAGAAGTAATTAGGAAGATAAGAAGTTAGTTTAATAAGGTTCACTTATGCATATTTCTCCACCATAAATTCCTTATTTCTGGTGATAAGATTGTCTGTCTTCCTTCATGGGAGTTTTATGACTTGTTTCGGGGGAAAGGGCAAGAAGGGAGGTCAGGGTGACCCCGCTTCAGCCAAGACGGTCAATAGGCCACAGCAGTATTCGGGAGTATCAGCCTGAATGGTGTCTGTCTGACTACCCATCCACCCACTCCATTGCTATTATTTCTTTTTTACAAGATTGATTTACTTATGCGTACAGAACTGGGGTACAGGACAGAGGTGGCAAAAGGGTTCCCCAGAGACAGAGTGGGGAGAAGAACAGGCAGATTGACAAAGTTCATTGCTGAGGGGAACAGCGGGGAGACAGGAGAGGTCTGCCACGCCCTGTGGGTCACTCCCTGGCCAGGGATCGAACTTGTGCTGCAGTGGCTGCGATGGTTTCATAGTGCTGTGCTTTAACCCATTGCGCCACCAGGGAGAGTCCCGATTGCTATTATTTCTATAAACATTTATCATGTGCTGTCTACAAGTTTTCTGAGAATGTGTGACAAAGTAAGACAGAGGTGCTCCTCACTGGAAAGAGCAAGACCCCGAGGGTCCAATTCTCCAACTGGTGAGGGCTTGTGTGTGCACCTGTCAGTCCAGAGGTTATCTACAGAGTCAGTGCTGGCTGTAACACATGATCCTATTGAAGCTCAAACGCAGATCACAGATTTGGACTTAAATGGGGGTTAGTGCCCCCTTACGCCAGGGGTTGAGAAGCCCATTTTATTTCATATGCTTTATTCAAAAGAAATTCTACTCAGTGACTAAAGTAGAGTTAGTCTGATGAGGCACACCTCCACCTTCCCCCCCCACTCCAATGAAAAATGATCTCTTAGAGCCCCCTCATTTCACAACTGGGGATACAGCCTGGGAGAGAAACTTGGGCAAGGACACAGGGAGACGCCTTGGCTTTAGAGCTGGGCTCTGGAGACTGGGATGCCAGGAATATTTAAAAGAACAAAAAGAACTACAAAGGAAATATACAGTGAGTGAATTTGGAGACTCCGTGGGTAGGCTTATTCATAGCCCAGACACAGCAAACGAGAACAGTGGCCTTGAAACAGAGGATTTGAAAGAATTATTCAGAATGTAGCAAAAAGAGGCAGAAAATATAAGAGGTTAAAAAAATAAAAACAAAGGCTAGAGTGAGATGGTGTGACATACACCCTGAAGATCCAAAGGGAGAGACTCAACATTCAGAGGAATAGTGGCAGAATTTTCCAAAAATGAGAGACATCAAATCTCAGATTCAGGAAGCCAAACAAATCCCCAAAGAATAAGAAGCCCCCTTTAAGGAGAATAAATTTTTTTTTAAAGTCCCATCCTAAGGGAGCTTTGTTCATACACAATTGTGTCTTCAGCACCTAGGACAGTGCCAGCACCCAGTAAGTGCTTTATAATAAAGTTGCAGAC